CTCACACCTACGGGTGGGGTGGTGGTGGTACTCTGAGGAGAGGGTCCAGCCTCATACTTGTGAACTTTTGCACACTTCATGTTAACTTAAACGAGTTGGCCCAACCAAGGAGCCCTGCCCCAGATCAACAACCGGATAGGAGGGCGGGGTCCCTGGTCCCTCCACTCCCCCTTCCTTGTGAGAAACAAGACTAGATGGTTTCAACCTTTTGCCTATGCATTTCTTGGCCTGCTTCTCCGGGTAGGGATTGCTGGGGTGGGGTGGGTAAGCTGAGGTCTCGAACTCTTGTCTAGTTCTTCTAAGTTCTTGCGTCCTTTTCTCATTCAAGGCTGTCTCTACTCTCTGAACAAGCATTGGCTCTTCTCATCTTTCTGGTTCTTTGGGCTGCTCTGCCATCAGGTTAACCATCTGGGCTCCTGCATATGTTTTCAATAACTTTTGTTTTGAAATAAACATGTTTTAAAGGAATCGTGTTCAAAGAATGAAATAGCCCTTTTGTGTTCTTCCAAAGGGAAAACAATATTTTTCCTTCTGGGGAACTTCCATACCACGGTTTAAAACTTTGATTGTGTCACCTTTGAAGGTTATATAGTTCAGTTTTTTCCTGGTGGCAGAACCAGACTTACATTTCTCATAGCTTTTCCAGTAAGGACAGTTCAAATGAGGAGAGTTCTGACTGGCTTGCACCAGATAACTTTCTGGGTCTCCAAAACCTACTGTATACTCTTGTTTTTAAGCATATCTAAAATTTGCCCCTCCCCCAGGATTCCAATATATAGTGTGTCTTAAAGGTTTTTTGGTTGTTTGTTTGTTTTGTTTTTCAGAAAAATAAAACTGGGAAAGAAGTTGCTGTTCTAGCCACAGTAGATAAAAGCAGAATGCATCCATGCTTAAATTGAAATGTTCTGGCATCTGGGGCTGTTAAATTGAGTTATGTTTATCATTTTGTTTTAGAAGAGTGACTCATTTCTTTTCCTAAACAGAGAGAATTCAAATGATTAGCTTCAGAAAAGCAAAAAACTAAAAATGATAAACATATGTTTTCTCCACACATTGTGTTGTCAACACAATCATTTTGGTGTCATTAGGCATGCCCTCAGTAGTCATAAGGCCTCATTGATAGACTATTTATACTCCCACTGGAGCCATTAATCACTGTTGTTAAACAATGCTTATGCCAAACGTCAGCATGAAACACCCGAGGAAAACAATTTGATTTGGAAATAGTTAATCTGCACAATTTTCCATGTTAACGCTGTGGCTTTTTTAAAAATCAGCTAGAAGAATTTGCCGTGATACCTAGTGCACCTGTGCCATACAAACTGCTTGGTATCACGTGACCTGAGTACAAGAAGCAGGGCATCTAAAAGGGCCTCAGGTTAAATGCTGGCTACATACCACATGCATATTCTCTCTATGGAAAAATCAATGTCCTGTTGTAACTGAAAATTAACCTTCCCTAAATTTTCCTACCTTCTTCCCTTATCATTCTTTATTATCCGTTCAGAAGAACAAAGCGTAGTATCTGAGCATAGCAGGAAGTGGTTTAGTTAATTGAAACTTAGTTTTAAAATTCTGCACATTAAATTTAGGGAGAAAAATATAATACTTACACAGAAGATAATCATGTAAAAACAAAAATAAAGGAAGAAAGAAAATACCGACATGTCTTCTGTAGAGTTAGACATAAATATTATATGTACATTGTGGTCATATATGTAACATTGAATATGTAACATCGGTGCTTAGTGTGTTGCAATGAATGAGCCATTAAGTTAACCCAATGAATATCTCTTAAGAATTGGAAGTAATTTTAGGGCTTTTTATCTAGCTTAAACCTCCTAATCAAATTTTTGAATTAGTTTTATGTCCTTTAAGATGGTGTTGTTTGGAAATTTAAGAGCATAGCACACTGTACTTTGCAGCGTTGAGCTAGAAAGATTTTCTCCACTGAGAGAACAGCCCCAAATGTTTGCCTTTATGTTGTGCTGCTGTGAGCTTTCCTATTGCTTTGGAAGCCTTATAGGTACCAGAACTCTTTCTGGTATGTTCTGAAAGGTGTTATGGAGTAAAGAGCTTGCATGCTGCAGGCTGTAAGTGGCAACCACAGGTGGCAGATGAGGTGTCAATGGGTTTCAGGGACCAGGAGAACTAGTAGGCCAGTAGATAGCCCAGGTTAAGTTCTAGCCATGTGGGTTCCTGTCTTGTGATGTCCTCAGGGTTTGGAAATCTAGAAGCTTATGTGTATTGTTTCATCATTTTGGAGGAACTAATTGAGTGCTTTCCTTAGTTTGTTTGTTTGTAATAAAGTAACAACCATGCCTGGAGACTGGAAATGGGCTCTGATTTGTTGTCCCTGCTTTTGAAAACAGAAAGTGTGTTTCAAAATGATTTTCCTGTTCATGACTAACTTCTGAAATATTGAGTTGTGTTCCCATGCAAAATTCCTGTCTAAATGCCTTGGTAGGTGAAAGGCAATTTGGGCCACACTTGTTGTTTTGAGATGATGGGTTTCTATATGTGATTCCTTTCATTGCCATTTTTGTTTTCTTTTCGATTGAGCATGTAAATGCTCTTTCTGTTATCATGCAGTTTTGTAATCGAATGAGTCTTTTAATTTAAAGTGTTGCATTCATAAGTTTGTGATTTGTACATAACAGCATCTTTAAAAGTAATCTATCCCCATCTGTTTGTTTTTAGATGAGGAAAATGACTTCCAAAGAATTTAAGGGGCTTGCTCCATACAGTGATTGTCCCCCACACAGAGATTAACAAGAAATGAGGTGGAGCACAGATTGTAGAATGTATGCCACTGTGATAGATGTGGTTGAAGTAGAGAATCAATACAGCCTTTTCACATGGGGCAGATGCACAGAAGTTAATAGGCTCTGGATATTGTGAATCACTTGAGCCTGTTTCCATCCCAACCCCCACCCTACTGCACTTGCCAAGATGTAGACCATTGGACTCAGTGCTGGTATATACTTTAATGTGATAATGTGTGATTTAATGTACTCTTTTCTCTAGGGAGAGTCCTCTGAGACTATTAGGCGGACTTTTCATAGCAGGATGCAAAATGCCAGTGAAGTTAATTAAAAATAATCTAAAATAGAAGCGAGGGAAAGGCTCTTCAAGTTGAAACTGCATAAGAAGAGCTCCGACTTAGACGCTTAGCTGAGTTGTCGGGAGTTCATGAAGTTAATCAGATTTCCTTTGGAGGAAGCCTGTTTATTTCAATTTATATAATTTAAGCTTGTACATATCTGAAGTTCCCTACTTTTGTCATGTTGTTTCATCTCTTTTATAGATGGCATTTCTCAAAATGTGTTATCTTTGGACAGCTTCTGTCATTGGTCTCAACCAGGGAGATGATTTCACCCTCAGGGAGACATTTGACTATATCTGGAGACATATTAGGTGGTCCTAATGTAACAGTGTGTGTTGCCAACATATACTGAGCAGAGGCCAGGGATTCAGATACTGCTCAGCATCCTACATGGCACCTGATAGCACATTACCACAATAATGAATGACCTGGCCCAAAGTCAATAATGGCTTGGGCAGAAAGATCTTCTGTCCTTATTTCTAGAGTGCCAGCAGGAATTTTGTCTTTACTCCAGCAGATAATCAGGTTCTCTAGGTAGAAAACCAATGAATCTGCATCTATACAAGTTCTAGGTGACACTTGATTCTATCTAAAGTTAAGCCTTATTAATTAGAGCCTTTACTCATAAAAGACACAATATATTGACTTTTGGAAGAGAACAGTCTTTTCTTTTATGCCTGGGGGTGGGTTGAGGTGGAACAGAGACTCTTCAAAAGGCTATAAAAACAAACCCCAAATTTAAATTTTGTTACTCTATGCAAACTCTCTACAGATGTACCCCCAACTTTTGGTTCTATACCTCAGTCCATTCTCAAAGTACTTCTGACCTTCAAAATGATACACTCTAAAATAAAGGAAGTCTTAGCATTATAGAAAGAGATAGAAGAGGAAAGTTGAAGGTGTGCCACAATGAATAGGATTCTGATACTTCCTTTGCTGCCTCAGTAGATGTCCTTGTCCTGAATCCCTTCATAATTTCTTGGAGACATGACTGCCCAGCAAGACACAGAAGACAACCCTCTGCTTTCACACAAGTCCTTTTCATTTGTAGGCTAGACTCTTAGAACCTGTGTTATATATATTTTTTCCTAGAAATAGTGGTAAATTATATTTGGCTCCCTAATAATTCTTGCAGAATTCTTAGAAATAAATTTTATTAAAAATTTCATGCCTTTTATCATAAATCCCAGACAACATAGTATGACATACTTGCAGGCACAGACAAATAATGAAGAATAAAATTAAACCCAGTAGAAGCTGTCTTAAAACACCTCTCACATGTATATGCTTGAACAAGGACAGAGAAAACAAAGAAAATAAGTGGAGACTTGTCTGGATTTAAAGGTGATGTGAGGACATCTGTAAGCACCTTGAAACCCCAAATCCTAATGCTTTCATAGGTCTGAGGGGAATGATGTTCATTTCTTAAGTTTTGCTCTCTGAGGAAAAAGCTTGTCAGAACTGCATTGTTTCCCCCTTTGCTAAGTAGAGTCAAATGAGGCAAAAATGCAAACTGGAAAAAAAATCCAAGAACAAAGGAAAAATAGTAAAGAGAAGGAAGGAAAGAATAAGCAAGGCGTGAGATAAAAAGTGATGGGCCTATGTGTTGATGAAATCATTTGGAGAGTTTGAATTGCCTGAATTGAACAGTATGGAAAAATGTATTTCATGGTTTAGCTTAGTATGAACTGGGCAGGTGGCTAGCATGTCAAAAAAAAATAGGTACTATAATACCATAATAGAGGCACAATGAAAGTCCAGTGACAGAAGATGGAAGACAAGAAAGCATCTCCAGTTGGGATTTGGCAAAATTTTCAAGAAAGTTTAATGTAACTTGAGCTTGGAGGCGTGGTCATAGGACTCAGTGCTGAGATGATAGGACACATGACTCACTTGGGAGGGTGAATGGCAGAAGGTTGGATTCTCCAGACAGATAATTGCATGGGTTTTGTGAAGGAGCAGAAAAGGACAGTGAAAACAACAATAAAGACTGGGTATGGTCTGTATCAGGAGACTTGATTGTTCTGCTGGGGAACATGAACACTTTCCTTGTTGATATTAGTGAGCCATTGAAGGTTCTTTGGGAGAGGAAAGTGGAAGACATAATTGGTGTTTTTTTAGAAGGGCAAACCTG